CTTGTATGCCTCTTTTTCTTCTGCCCCTTATCCAGTAATGAAGCATAGGCCCTCAACCAACTTATGCCAAGTTGTCCTACCCTTTGTAGTTGCATGGGGATCACCCTATGTTCTTCCTATACTTTTTTAAACTCAGCTCTCAAGCTCTCTTCTGTGTGTTCTTTGGCCTGGCTTTATTTTTACTAGGGCTGTACCAAATATTCGCTTCTTATTCGCTTTGGGACCGAATAGTGGACCTAATAACTCTACGAATACGAATAGTGGTTACCTTACACCCGTTTCTGGACTGGTGGAAAATGAACATATCAAGATTTCCCACCTTGGTTCATACTGTCAAGCGTTACTTTGTGCACCACCTATGAGCGTACCAAGTACAGCTGGAAATACCTTCAGTGGGACAAGAAGCTGCCTTAATGCTGACAACATGGAACGATTGTGTGTGTTCTTGTTTTTGTTTTATAAGCTAATGCTTTCTTGCTTGCTACATACATCCAGTTTTAACATATGGCTGTGAGTCCTGGACAATTGGTAGGCAGGCCAAACAATTTCTTAAGGTCTCATAGATGTGGTTTTACAGAACAATGCTTAAAATACCTTGGACAGCTAGAGAAAAGCAACCAATAGGTTTTAAAAGAGGCGGGAGCCAGAAGACAACTACTCACAGACATCAGAAGGAGAGAGTCATCATTTTTCGGCCATGTTATAAGATGAGAGAAAATAGAACATGTTGTGACCACTGGAAAGATCTGTGGAAGGAGGGTTAGAGGAAGACAACGAGAGAAGATTCTTGACAGTCTTGTTGCATGGCATGGATGTGTGTCAGCACACGAACTAATACATGCTGCAGGAGATCGCAGATTGTGGTAACTCATAATCGCCCATTCTAGTCGGCAAAGCACCTGATGATGATGATTCACTATTCGTATTCGGCCGAATAGTTGGTCCAGCTATTCGTATTCAGCCGAATAGTGAAAATCACTATTCGGTACAGCCCTAATTTTTACACCTTTGTGGGTTCCTGTGCAAAGACATTCTAGTTATATTATTGACAGATTTTCTCAGCGTGTATCCTATCCACCGCCAGCATTTTTTCCTCATCTCTTGATTCATGGGAATTTGTTTAGTTCTCTACCAAAGCTCACCATTAGTGTTTTTATCATAACAGTTCATTATTTTGTTGGGCTCCTCATCAGTAACAACTACGGTCTTAGCATTTGATTATGCTGTTTGCCGCCCACTCCTCTCCCAGCGTATTCGCAAAGCACACATGTCCCACCCCTCTTCCAGCATAATCATAAGGCACACATGTTTATTACCCGTGGTAATTTGGACATTTTAACACTTATGTATGTATGTGGGTGCTTACGCACATGTGTGTAAGTGAGTGGGTGGCCTTATGTATGTGGAGCCACGTTAGCGAAGTCAATAGGAGGCTTGTTTTAAAATGCAGCTGCGACTGGCTGCAGCCCACGGTCGGTGTTCACCCAGCCTCTAATAAATGGGTACCAGAATTGACAGCCTGGGGTGAAGGGAGGAATGTCGCTGTAGCTACGGAGTTACATGCGGACGGCGACACAGTTTCTTGTCAGCTGTCCGTACTGCTGGCAGAGCACTTATGGTTTATAACTGTGTGCACTGACGTTGGTTTCACATCTACCGACTTTACCTTTTTTTTTTTATAGTATCTTTGGAATATAACGAGTTTAAGTAACAAGCATCTGCGACTAAAAGAGTTAATGGATTTTTTTTTTTCAGGCAGAAAGCAAAATTGTATGAAATGCTTCCTGTAGCACCTAAATACAGTTACGATCAAGTGGAGAGGGTATGTATTTGTTTGAGATGGTTAGAATTGATTTCTGTCAGTGTTGAATGTTGAATCGACATCATAGCACTCTGTCCCCGGCAAATAGACTGGCTGGCTCTGCACCACTTGGTGATGAATTGATTTGTGACAAGTTAGATGTTGTGAGGGCCCTTTGGGAGTGAGTGAACAGTGCGGAGGCACAAATAGATCATTACAGTCTGAGGAGAGGGCCGCTGCAGGGAGTTACCAGGCTCAACACTTAAGGGAAAGGCCAGACGGATGTTCAGTCAGACAGTTACTGGTACTACCGGAATGGGATCTCTTAACTTGCTGCTGAAGATTGGGGATGGAGCGCTTATGGTAGTGTCCCAAGTGCTATGATGTAGATTCTTAATTCAACATGTCACTATCTTAAACCATCCAGAATAGTTTCTGTCTGCCTCTACCTCTTCTGGCGCTGATCTGACCAGTCATCATCAAATTCTGCACTGCCTGTGCCCACCGTGTGACCAGTTAACAGCGTCACTGACCATTATCATCATGTGACCAGTTAACAGTGTTGCTGACCATTATCATCATGTGACCAGTTAACAGTGTTGCTGACCATTATCATCATGAGACCAGTTAACAGTGCGTCACTGACCATTATCATCATGAGACCAGTTAACAGTGACACTGACCATTATCATCATGAGACCAGTTAACGGTGTTGCTGACCATTATCATCATGTGACCAGTTAACAGTGACACTGACCATTATCATCATGTGACCAGTTAACAGTGACACTGACCATTATCATCATGAGACCAGTTAACAGTGACACTGACCATTATCATCATGAGACCAGTTAACAGTGACACTGACCATTATCATCATGAGACCAGTTAACAGTGTTGCTGACCATTATCATCATGTGACCAGTTAACAGTGCGTCACTGACCAATATCATCATGTGACCAGTTAACAGTGTGACACTGACCATTATCATCATGTAACCAGTTAACAGTGACACTGACCATTATCATCATGTGACCAGTTAACAGTGTTGCTGACCATTATCATCATGTGACCAGTTAACAGTGCGTCACTGACCAATATCATCATGTGACCAGTTAAAAGTGACACTGACCATTATCATCATGTGACCAGTTAACAGTGTGTCACTGACCATTATCATCATGTGACCAATTAACAGTGTTGCTGACCATTATCATCATGTGACCAGTTAACAGTGCATCGCTGACCATTATCATCATTTAAAATCTTGCTGACTGATGTGGGTGGTCCTGCCTCTCCCCACCCTGACATCCCTCCATTTCATGACAAAAGTCTATCAAGAATCTTCTTGCTCAATAAATATTCTACTTTCATTAGCTCATCAAATATTTTACTTTTATTAGCTTATTAAATACCAGGGGTTCTGGTCGACGCTCAACACTCAAGGGAAGGACGAGACGAATATACAATCAGACTACTGGTGCCATCAGAATTGGTACTCTTTGTTTGCTGCTAATGATGGGGACGGAGCGCTTATGGGGGTGTCCCGAGTGCTATGATGTCGATTCCTAATTCAACGTTCAGCTTATTTTCTACTTTCATTAGCTTATTGAATATAATATTTTTATTAGCTTATCAAATATTCTTTCATTAGCTTTTTAAATATTCTACTTTCATTAGCTTTTTAAATATTCTACTTTCATTAGCTTTTTAAATATTCTACTTTCATTAGCTTATTAAATATTCTACTTGAATAATCATCATCATGTAGCAGAACGTTGCTCTCATTACGGTCTGCCTGAAAGAAACTCGGTCTCTCGCCAGCACTCCCGCCTCGTGTACTTTCATACTCAAGAAGTCACTTATATCCTGGGCCTATCTTCATGTTGGTCGACCCCTGCCCCTCCTTCCTGGTACCATGCCTTCTGCTATAATTTTTTCCAGTCCGTGTGGCGCTTGATATGACCGAAATATTTTAGCTTCTGAGAAAGAATGCTGTTTATTAGCCAATCTTCCTTGATGTTCAGATCTTTCAAGATGTCAGTATTTCTCCTCTTTTTCTGAAAATCTTTCTAAAGCATTTCAGCCCCTATTCTCTTTCTTAAGGACTTAGAGATAGTCCACGAAGCACATCCGTATGTAGCCCTAAGAAAGATGCATGCTCTCAGAATTCTTTGATCTTCTTGCTGGTGCTTAACCATAGGCTGTTTAATCTTTGCATTGCTATGGCCATCCTCTTTTTAATTTCTGTCAAACAGTCTCCATTGCTATTTTTTATAGAGCCTAGATATTCAAAGTTTGTGACATTTTTAATTTCATTACCATTTATTGTTATTTGTGGGTGACAGCCAGTTTTCTACTTTCATTAGCTTTTTAAATATTCTAATTTCATTAGCTTATTAAATATTCCACTTTCATTAGCTTATTCAGTATTCTACTTTCATTAGCTTATTCAATATTCTACTTTCATTAGCATTCTTCTATAAAACCTGAGGTCTCAGGAAAGTCGGTCTTTCTTACAGCCATGTATAATGAGTATTAAACTTTCTTTAGCCTTACTTGTGCGGGCACTATCTGGTACCCATGTTAAGATCGGCTGGGGAGATTTAATCATATATTTATCAGTGATTTTCTCTGGCCATATTAAATGCCATGATGGATTGGAAAAACGATTTACTGATTTAAGATCGACAACATAGTTGGCCACACCAGTAAGTGCTCAGTCTCTCACAGCTAATGTCTTAAGATGTAGATGTTAATTGTTTCATCGGCACACTTGATTAATAAATTTTCATTCTTTTCCTCTTATACGCCCCTCCTTGCCTGATCCAGTCGTGATTACTCATTGGTACATTCTTACTTGTTATTTCATCAGACCTCGTGACTTTTATCAGCATCTGTTCATAAATGGATTTAAATGAAAATAATAGCAGCAGAGGGCACAGCACCAGGTAAAAGGGGCTGACATCCACAAACATAACACATGACGTCAGAGAAAACACATGACGTCAGAGATAACACATGACATCAGAGATACTTTAGGCTGGAAAGTGCATGAGATGGACGATCTGGCGAAGGAGAGAGTTTCTTTCGGGCAGGCTGTGATGAGGGCAAAGTTCAGTAAAGAAGCTGCTACATGATGGTGATTTGTCAGTTTTGCTGAGACACTGTAACATATTAACCTCTTTCCTTTCCCAGGAAGGTGTTACCGACTGGACCACCCCTGGGAACCCTTCTCTGGAGGACCTGGGTGTGTCACTGACCCAGTTTGAGCCGTTTGCACGTTACGTTCTTCATCCCATGCGCAGAAATGCCTACTACTTGGAACGTTTGGGTGAATTTGCCGACCCAGCACCGCCCAAACCTGCCGAGTTCTACCAGACTAAACCTGCCAGTTATGCTCAAGCCTAGTATGCCAAAGTTAGGTTATGTTGCAGAGGCAGGCATGTCTTCACACTAGATTGTTTATTGTTAGGTTCTGTTGCAGAGAAAGGCACGTCTTCACACTAGATTGTTTATTGTTAGGTTCTGTTGCAGAGAAAGGCACGTCTTCACACTAGATTGTTTATTGTTAGGTTCTGTTGCAGAGAAAGGCACGTCTTCACACTAGATTGTTTATTGTTAGGTTCTGTTGCAGAGAAAGGCACGTCTTCACACTAGATTGTTTATTGTTAGGTTCTGTTGCAGAGAAAGGCACGTCTTCACACTAGATTGTTTATTGTTAGGTTCTGTTGCAGAGAAAGGCACGTCTTCACACTAGATTGTTTATTGTTAGGTTCTGTTGCAGAGAAAGGCACGTCTTCACACTAGATTGTTTATTGTTCTTATTTTGTTTCTTTGTCTGGGTGTAAACTTCGGTGAAAGGTCCTGGTTGTTTGTCCGCTTCTGGACTTCTGTCTTGTTCCAAGACTTGTGTGTGACCAGCACCCATTTGAAATATCTGGCTTATTCATGTGCATACTGTTGGTTCTTGGGCTCTCAGGCAGATGCACACTGATTTCGAAGAAAACATTGATTCTATCTAAGATGACCAGGCTTCAACTTGGAAACTGGTTTCTAGGATGGCTACTGAGGGGTGCAGATGGGTCTCGACCAGAATGAGACATATTGCTGGTACAGCACATGTGGTTTAGAACTTCTGCCTCCGATTCTGTCCTCCCTTAGACTGCCAAACAAGCGAGACAGTGAAGTCTCAGATTTGGCAAATTTCTCTTGTGAAGAACATTCAAAAAAAAAAAAACTTTATCTGGTTAGGAGGAATTTCTGATAAGAAGAACCATTTCTAGGGTCCTTTATGAACTCTCCTTATCAGGTCTACACTATATCTCAGCAGATTGTACTGCATCTGCAACACTTTCTGCCTTCTCTTGTGGTTGTCTCTGATAGGCTTATTTTTTGCTGTTATCTTGCTTACCTCTCACTCTTTGCTTTTAGCTTTTCTTGTCAGTATGATTCTTACGAGGGGTCTTGTAGGATCATTTTTTCAACTACTTTGAAAGAAGAAAAATGGTAGTCTCTAAAAGACATGTTCTGAGTTGAATTACATGTGGGTAGATGATGTTGAGATGTGTGCATATGGGTCATGGCTGATACAGGTATTGAGGTGGATGGTGTTATCAGTTGCCGCACCCTGAGGGAGATGCTGAAGATAAGATCCTAGCACTTATGGACTTGTCCGCTGAGGATGATCAGTTGATTAACTAATAAATTATGTATTATGCACGGGAATTGATGATAGATGAAGTGTTTTTTGTTGTTGATGAGAACAGCATTCTGCTTCCTAAGCACTACCTGATGAAGGACTTATTCAGTGTGTTCGGGCATATTGGGCATGTAGTGATAGATATGCCAGCCACCCTTACTTCATCTGTTCTTTGGTTTTCAGCCTGCCAAAATGTAGAATTGTTTTTTTTTTTGTTTTTTGTTATTGTTTTACCTGAATCCCAAACTCTGTATTATGTGTTACTCTAGCTATTTTTGGTTTTTAAATTGCAAAATTTGGTCAGAAAATGCTGATGTCAAGTGGCTTTTTTTTGGTTCAATCTACAGAAATATATGATTGCTTTTCTTCTCCACCTGAATCGCAAACATTTCTTAATGTGTTACTCACATTTTTGTTTTTGGTTAGAGAATTCTGATGAAATCTAGCTTGTCCAGTGGCAACTTCCCTATGTAAAATTCATGACCTTTTGTATTTTCGCACTGGTAGCTAAAATTGGGCGGCGGAAAGAGTTGGTCTTTGTCTTCTGATAGTTGATCCTATGTAGTCTTTGTCTTCTGATAGTTGATCCTATGTGGTTTTGATAATCATTTCTGTTTGTAGCCTTCTGGTCTAGTTCATGGGTTAAGGTTAGTTAGTTGTGTATCTTTTACAGGACGTTGCAGAACCAACCCCAAAAGTCCCTGGCTGTTGTGTGGTTTTTCTAGGCAAATTTACATCAAGTAGTTTGCCATTGTCTCTGAACGGTCAGCTTTCTTGATACCACTGTTGAAACCAACGCAAGGCACATTGCCCTCAGCTGGGATCAAACCCGGCATTACGAAGGGTTCGCATCGACTTAGCCACAGAGCCGACTCATGAGGTTAACCCGGAAAAAAAGTTTCTAGGTTCTGTCCAGTTATCTCACGTAGCTGCCGTGGTCCGGTGGATTCAGAGGTCGAGGGTTCAAATCTGATCAGTGCTGGACTGTTTTTCATAAACGACCCTAGCTGCCAGATCGACCAAGTCTTAAATAGGTACCAGGAAAAAGTCGTGGGAAGTAAAGGCGACCAGCGTGGTGCTGACCATTTCACCCACCCAGTACTGACCAGTTGGTCTATAAAATTTATATCTAGCCCTATATGCCCAATACACTTGAAGGTGAGGAAAAGGGTCTTTTACTTTAGCAGTTATGCCCCTTTAGGTTATAGCTGGGATATGTATGATTTATATTATCATATGAAATAATTATAATATCTTAGGTTTGATAGTTAATTTGTCTGTAAATCTTCTTTTTGAATAAACAAAATGTTCAGTGATTACATAATTTGCTGTTGCTCTTTGACTTTCCCTCACGGAGACTGTCCTACCTAGCGTTTCAGTTGTTGGACCGTCTGTGCCCAGAGTTCAGAAGGAACATGATATGCCTTTAACCTTTGACTTTCATTTAAGGGAGAATTTGCCCAGTAAACTCTTTTATGTAATCATTATTTGTCTCTCTCTTATCTGCCATTATATTTATATGCCTGTTTTGTTATGATTGCATCTCGGATGTTTACACAGTAAGACAAGTTATCTGACAGAGTAGCTGTCTATTGATGAATATAACAATAAAAGGAACAAGAGAACTACTACTTCTTTCTTCTTCGCGTTCACCAACTGTAAACTCTGGCAAAATGTATGGTTGTTCATCCACTTCTGGATTGCAGTTCTGTTTCAGTTCTGTGCATCCGTTTAACAGATCTGACTTTTTGTGTGTCTTGCCTCTCAGGCAGATGCACTTCGTCTTTGAGGGCAGCTCCCAATTAGTCGACTCCTACAATATACTTTTGGGCAGGCAGTGGGTCTATTCTTGTTTTGCCTAAAACAGGGCCCAGGAACCTACACAGGGAACAAGAGAATTAAAACAACAGAAGGGAAGTGTCTATGGCGAATCCTCAATTTAACAAAAAGAGACAGGATCAGAATTGGCGATATCAGTAAATAAGTTCTGATACTGAGGAGTGGCTGTCATAAGACCCAGGTTCAAATCCTCGGTGAGGCTGGGGATTTATTCTGTCGGGGGCCAAATAAAATCCTCACCTGCATATTCGGTGCGACAGCACTAGATATGTGGCCCTTAATCCTCAGGCTCAAAGACACCCCCCCCCCCCAGCCTACATCCCAAAAGTGCTATATAAAGGCAGTTTTGACAGTTCTGATACTAAATGACTCTTCAGATCAGGACTAGAGAAAAGATGAAGTGTCCATTTACAATAGCCAGATCCCTGTGTGGGTTCTGGGGCCCCATTGTGGGGGGGAAGGGGCGGAGGCAACAAGAATAGACCAACTTCCTCCCCAACAAGCATGTCATAGGAGTTGACTAATTGGGGGTTTCCTTCAGAGCCAGAGTGCATCTGCCTGAGAGGCAAGGAACCGACAGTCATTCTACACATGAGTCAGATCTGAAAGCAGAGTGCAAGCAACACTCAGGTTCTGGAACAGGACTAGAGTCCAGAAAAGGATAAACAACTAGAAGTTTCTGCCAGAGTTGACAGCCATGGAATGTGAAGGAGAAGAAGATAATAGCTAGAGTTGTGCAGTTTGTGATGCACTTTTTCTGGCACACTTTTGCAGACTTCAGGATCTTTTCAGACAATTGGTTTAGCCTGTCCCGACTGGTTGGGAGAATGATTATTTATCATCATCATAAACCACTTCTGCCATTAAGCATCATGGGAAGGAATAATTAGCAATCTGACGCACACTCAACTGGCTATTGTGGTGACTGCACAATCAGCGGTGTCAGTATCAAGAAAACGGGTGGGGCACATATAATTATTTTAATACCCCATGTGGGTTCCTAGGCCCTATTATTTAAAAAAATGCTGAATTAAAAACCGACATAGCACTCAAGACACTCCCATAAGTTCTCCATCATCACCAGCAAGCGGTCTGATGGTATCAGTAACTGTGTTATTGTACATCAGTCTCACCTTTCTGTTGAGCGTTGGCCTGATCCCCTGGGAACTCCCATTTTCATCAGACCGTAATGATCTGTTTGTGCCTCCGCACTGTTCACTTGCTCCCAAAGGGCCCACACAACATCTAGCTTGTCATACATCAGTTCACCACTAAGTGATGCAGAACCGGCCAATCTATCTGACTGCTCATTTTCCAACACACTGGCATACATGGAGAGAATATCCAAAGGATGCTAACTACCCGTTACCTCTGAAGCGATGCTTGCCACTCTGCATGGACCAAGCCTGACTACACCTTTCTCAACATGCTTTGTGAGTCAGTTACAATTATGATATGTTATACAGCTGATTCTTAGTCCAGCGGAAGGCTGCAGTGACTGCCTCCACCTCCATTTTCAAACTAGACATCGTGAAATCATATGCCAAGCTTTGTTGTACCATCCGCTTTTGCTATGAAACCCCGTGCACTTCGTCTGCCTCTCAACACAGGGCCATCTGTATAGATAATCACATCACTTGGGCGGGAATTGTCATGAATCATTTGTTGTTAAACTTCTGATTCTGCAGCACCAGCAGGGAGAGCAACAAGAATAGATCCACTGCTCATCACTAGCATGTCGTAAGAGTCGACTCGTTGATCTTTCTTCAGAGTGCAGAGGCAAGGAACCAACAGTTTGCATTTCGATAGGCCAGATCAGAAAAATGGATGTGCATGCAACACTCAGGTTCTGGAAGAAGCCTAAAGTCCA